ACTTTCTGAGAAGGTACCAGGCAGGACTTCTCCAGATTCAAAATCCACCCCAAGCTTTCTAGATGGCCCCTCACTATAACCAGGTCTTGCCGTAAGTGAGCCTCTGAATCTGCGAAAGAGCAGCAAATCGTCCAGATAGGTCACCACTGAAATCCCCCTCAAGCGAATAGAAATCAGTGCCTCCGACAGAACCTTGGTGAATACTCTTGGCAAGGAGGAAAGGCCGAATGGAAGAGCCCTGAACTGCCAATGTCGAATTCCTTCCTCCCCCCCCCACTGCCAACCTGAGGAACCTCTGAGAGGCTTCCGCCACGGGCACGTGTAAGTAGGCGTCCTTCAAGTCTATGGATGCCATGAATGCACCTGGCGGTATTAGGGACCTGATTGTAAAAATGGAGTCCATGCGGAAACCTCCGTAACGCACTGACCTGTTTAGGGGTTTCAGGTTCAAAATCAGTCTGAACGCCCCAGACGGCTTTTGAACCACAAACACATGGGAATAAACTCCCTTCCCTTGTTCCTCTACCGGAACCCTGGAGATGACCCCCTGGGACTCTAGAATCTCTAAAGCGCCCACCAGAGCCGCGTCCTTCATCGGATCCCTTGGACGGGTCGTCACCAGAAAAGTCTCGGGTGGCGGCCTTAGAAACTCCAACCGGTAACCCCTTCGGATGACATCCAAAATGAAGGGGCTGGTGACCACGGCTTCCCACTGTGGGAGGAATGCCGCCAATCTTCCCCCCACAGGAGGAACCAAGTCACCTTGGCTTTTGGGGCTGCTCAGGAGGGCGAAAAATCGCTCCCCCTCTTTTCCCCTACCTCTCTGTCCAGCAAACCTACCCTGACCAGGCGGTCGCAGGCTCAGCCTTTTTGCCGGGCGGGCCTTCCGTGTCCCCCCCTCCTGCATTTTCCTCTTGAGGGGGAAGGACTTCTTCCTATCAGCTATCCGGTCCAATAACTCCTCCAACCCCGGGCCGAACAGACAGTCTCCTGTTAGGGGGATGCCGCACAACCTAATTTTCGAAGTGATGTCCCCCTGCCATGTTTTTAGCCACAGCGCCCTTCTGGCTGAGTTGGTCAGGGCAGCAGACCTGGCCCCAACCTCACCGACTCTGCGGAAGCGTCCGCAATATACCCAACTCCTTGCAAAAGGGTCTCAAAAGAGGCCAAGATTTTTTCCTTGGGAGAGTCTGCCACAATATGGGCCTGTAATTGCGTAAGCCAATACTCTAAGTTTCTGGCTACCACTGTCGTAGCCATGGCCGGCTTCAGGTTGTACAGGGTCGAGTCCCAGGCCTTCCTAAGGAGAGACTCCGCCCTTCTGTCCAATAAGTCTGGTAAGACCCCCATGTCCTCAAACGCCAGGTCAGTTCTCCTGGTCGTTTGGGAAAAGGCTGCGTCTAGTCTAGGGCTCTTGTTCCAGACCGCCTCGGGTCTTCCGAAAACGGAAATCTCCTTCTCAACGCCTTAGAGAAGAACGGCTTCCTTTCCGGGTCCTGCCACTCCTTCTTAATGGTGTCCACCAAAATGTCATGCACAGGAAATATTCTGTGCTGGTGCTCCTCCAACCCCTGATACATTTGGTCGTGGAGAGATAAGGCCTTAACCTCCTCCTTAATGTCCAGGGTTTCGTATATACCCCCCAGGAGCTTATCTACCTCCTCTAGAGTCAATTTGTACCGGGAGGGGCCCCTCCCTTCCTCCGAGGGACCCTCCCCCGCCGATTCCTCCTCAGACTGGGAGGAGTCCCCCACTGGTTCCTCCCCCGGTCATAAGGGGTTCCCGACGACTCACCGAAGCTACCTGGGGGGGGGGGAAGTGTAGGTAATGGGAGGGCAAACCTCTCCATGAGGGATTTGAAGGAGTCGAAGGTGGTAGCCAACTCCTTCACTGACCTGGCTAGGTCCCCCTGTTCCGGCTTCTCCTCCCTCACCAACCCCTGTATACATGGGCCACAAAGAACCTTTCGCCAAGATTCTTTCAAAACTTCCTTTACAGGAAGGGCATCTCCACTTGGGCTCCTGGTTCCTAAGTTTAGCTCGGGCCTTGCCCTGAAAGACACAAAAGAAAGGGGGGAGGAGGGAAGCCTAATCAGTCCAACACTAAACACCCCCCCCCTGTTCCTTCCTGGCAGAGCAAAAAAGGGCCTGCAAATTCGCAGACCCCTTGCCCCACCTTCCCACTGCTAGGGGCCAACAGGTAGGGGAGGCCTCCACTGAGGCACCTTACCTGTGACTGGCTGGTGCTGGCATCTCCTGGTCCCGGTGCCTCCGACATCCCGTACCGGAGGTGGTCGCCTGGCGCTGGTCTGTCCCCCAGAACCGCTGTGCACCGCACCGCCTTTTTAAATTTGCGCCGCCGTGGTGTGAGGGCCGCGACCAGAAGCGGAAATCGCAGCCCTGGGCGAAGCCCCGCCCCTTCCGCCGGAAACCGTCGTCTCCCGACGTCCGGCCCATCCGGCAAAGTCCTCAGACCGCCAGCATGGGAAGGAGCGGAACTCCCCCCCGATCCTCCCCAGATCTCACCACGGCCACCCTGACGCCCCCCCTCACCAGAGAGGGTCGGGGGGCGAAGAGCAGGCAAGTGCTTTGTCCCGTCCCCCGGGATGCACTCTCACTGCCCGCAGCCTGCCCAGGGAGGATATGCAGCCGGACACTCCGGCCTTCACTCCTGGCTGCGTCGGGCCTCTCAGCCGGCTATCTGGCCCTAGGCTCCCCTATCGTCTGCCCTGCGCCTCCTCGTGTCTCCCCACCGGAGGAAACACCTGAACTGAGGTCAGAGGGGAGTGGAGCTTTTTTATTGTAGGTGGAGGTGTTTCCTCAGATGGGGAGGAGCCGAGGTCTCTCAGAGTGCTGGCCTGAAAGACGGTAGGGGAAAAAAGATTCTGAACCCAATACATATAGTAATTCATCCCCCATATAGTAATTCATCCCCCATATAGTAATTCATCCCCCATAGTAATTCATCCCCCATATAGTAATTCATCCACCATAGTAATTCATCCCCCCTATAGTAATTCCTTCCCCATATAGTAATTAATCCCCCATATAGTAATTCATCCCCCATAGTAATTCATCCCCCATATAGTAATTCATCCCCCCTATAGTAATTCATGCCCCCTATTCATCCCCCCTATAGTAATTCATTCCCCATATTGTGTCAATTCACTTACCTTTGCTCCACGCGTTCCTGTCGCCGTGTTCCCGCGCCGTTCCGGTCTTCAGGGTTGATCCACGAGCAGAGGGGGTGATGACGTCAGCGCGCACCGCTGGGTGTACTAAGATGGCCGACCGCTCCCAGAGATAGACCAAAGCCGCGGCCTTTCCTATGGCCGTGGCCACATCTGACGGATTCTCTCTCTATTCGTCGTACCAACTTTTCCCCCCCAGTTTTGGGGAAGAAAAAGTGCGTCTTATACGGCGAAAAAATACGGTAGTATACAGGGTATGATACGGACGGAGGGCCCATTATAGAGTATGAAATAGTATACCGAGTATGATACAACAGAGTTTTATATAGTATACAGAGTATGATACGGACGGACGGAGGGCCCATTATAGAGTATGATATAGTATACAGAGTATGATACGGACAGAGGGCCCATTATAGAGTATTATATAGTATACAGAGTATGATACGGACGGAGGGCCCATTATAGAGTATTATATAGTATACAGAGTATGATACGGACGGAGGGCCCATTATAGAGTATGATATAGTATACAGAGTATGATACGGACAGAGGGCCCATTATAGAGTATGAAATAGTATACAGAGTATGATACGGACGGAGGGCCCATTATAGAGTATTATATAGTATACAGAGTATGATACGGACGGAGGGCCCATTATAGAGTATTATATAGTATACAGGGTATGATACGGACGGAGGGCCCATTATAGAGTATGAAATAGTATACCGAGTATGATACAACAGAGTATTATATAGTATACAGAGTATGATACGGACGGAGGGCCCATTATAGAGTATGATATAGAATACAGAGTATGATACGGACGGAGGTCCCATTATAGAGTATGATATAGAATACAGAGTATGATACGGACGGAGGGCCCATTATAGAGTATTATATAGTATACAGGGTATGATATAGTATAGAGAGTATTATATAGTATACAGAGTATGATATAGTATACAGAGTATTATATAGTATACAGAGTATGATATAGTATACAGAGTATGATATAGTATACAGAGTATTATATAGTATACAGAGTATGATATAGTATACAGAGTATTATATAGTATACAGAGTATGATACAACAGAGTATTATATAGTATACAGAGTATGATATAGTATACAGAGTATTATATAGTATTACAGAGTATGATATAGTATACAGAGTATTATATAGTATACAGAGTATTATATAGTATATATGAACAGAGTATATATATATACAGAGTATTACATAGTATTATATAGTATACAGAGTATGATATAGTATACAGAGTATTATATAGTATACAGAGTATGATATAGTATACAGAGTATTATATAGTATACAGAGTATGATACAACAGAGTATTATATAGTATACAGAGTATTATATAGTATACAGAGTATGATACAACAGAGTATTATATAGTATACAGAGTATGATACAACAGAGTATTATATAGTATACAGAGTATTATATAGTATACAGAGTATGATACAACAGAGATATATATAGTATACAGAGTATTATATAGTATACAGAGTATGATACAACAGAGTATTATATAGTATACAGAGTATGATATGAGTGAACATGGAGGTGTTGTGCAGGGTGTTCAATGTTCAGCTCCTCCCCTTCTCTCCTCCCCCTCTCACATGTCCTGCACTCCTCTCTTCTTCTTCTTTCCAAGGTCCCGATCCCCCATCCTTCCCCCCCAGGGAGGAGCCTCCCCCTCCCCGGACATTTAAATACCCCGGCTCGGTGCCCCGCCGCTGCCCAGGAAGTGTTTGTCTGCGCAGACCCACGTGTGTGCAGCATGGAGCTGGAGGAGCTGGGGATCCGGGAGGAGTGCGGGGTGTTCGGCTGCATCGCATCCGGCACATGGCCGACCCAGCTGGATGTGCCCCATGTCATCACTCTGGGGCTGGTGGGGCTGCAGCACAGGTAACCGATCGGGCCATTGTGTGCCATGTTTGTGCTTCCCCGCCGATCTATGGGGGCGGAGCTGCAAGCATGTGGATCGGTGAGCCCATTCGATCTATAGATCTGCACCCCTCCCCCAATATCTATAGATCTGCACCCCTCCCCCAATATCTATAGATCTGGATGTGCACATCGATCTCCGAGCCGCTGCAGAACCTCATTGCTTATCTTGTGCATTGGCAGCTTGTTAGATCTGAGGGTTGGTCATCATGTGTAGATCTGGTGATGAGCCTCAGCTGCTGTAGAGCTTCACTGTGACCCTGGATGGGCTTGTACCAGGCAGGATGTTGTTCGGTGATCTTCAGATGACTGCTGGGAGTGGATTGCACCGATAACACTCTACGGGTTGTATGGGGGGGGGGGGGGGGCGGTGCTGTTGACTGAGCATAGACCTTCGAGCTCCTCTGTCAGCTGTGCATGTGTTAGTTTTCATCCTGGCATGCATACAATTATTTCGTAGAATTGATCACTTTGAAGTAATTTTATCTTTCAGAAATATCAGTGTAAAGGTGATGTGAGCAATAGGTGATGATCAATAAGATGATACAGCTGATTCATGCACACATTATTTTCTTTTATAGATCATGCATTCAGTATAATGATCACTTTGATATATTTCAATCTTTCAAAAACTGATTGCATTGAAAAGGCAATGGTCAATAAGATGGTTCAGCCCATATAGCTGATCTATAATGCGATCAATCATGTATTGATTAATATTATTATACAGTATATAGCGCCAAAGGGTATGCTCGGCGCTGTACAATAGCGAGGGGGACAGAACATGAGACAATACAGTAACAATACAATACACGAGGGGTTCGAGGGCCCTGCTCCTTGGAGCTTACAATCTAGGAGCTTATTTTGTAATCTATATCATGCATACATAGGATCACTTGGTATCACTTTAATGAATTGGCTGGAGCTTTCAAACACTGATTGAATTAAAAAAAGAGGATCAATAAGATGATACAGCCCTCATAGCTGATCCATAATGTGACCAAGCATGCATTGGAGTCATTTAGTAATATATTAGGCATGCATGGGGTTATTCAGTATAATGATCACTATGATGAAGTGGTTTTGTCACCAGTCACACCGCTGCGATTTTTGTGCAGTTTTGGTTCAAAAGTTTTAGCCCTGGTTCACAATGATGCGGTGTGGATTTTGCAGCATTTTCTGTGTGAATTCCGCACTGCATCAGAATCGAACCCTTTCATGAGAACCGCTGCGGGTGTGTGTTAAGATAAACATACACCTGAAAGCAGTCCACAAAACGCAGTGCGATGTGCAGAATCAGATTGCATAAATGTGAATACCCATGCGATCCAATTCTAGAGCGGACCAAAAAAAAGTTCCTGCTCCTCTTTTGTACGGTGTGATTAGAGCCATACAAAATGTATGGCTGCAATCGCACCGCACACAAATCGCATCTGATTTGCACAGGAATGCGGTGCGGTTCCTGTGTGAATCACATGCGATATACCGCACCGCCTGTATGTGAACCCAGGCTGAATGAACAGTCATAGTTACAGCAAGGCAATGTTTTGGAGTCTCACAGGACCCCTTCGTCAGGCATATGGCATGTGACTCCAGGACGTTGCCTTGCTGTAATTTTGTGATTGTTTAAAAAAAACCTTTGGACCCATATTGGTGATCCTCGGTGTGCTGGTGACATTGTCCTTTGCTGATTCTGTCCAGTTCAGTTCCAGCCGACGGTCTCTTCAGCCCCCACGTATACACACAGCCATTTTTAACGCAAGGACAAGTGCATTTGGATTGTAGACTTGCATTGTGTGCTTGATCAGCTCGATTTCTGAAGACTGTATTGCTACTTTAACGATTTCTTGCAATTTGCAGTGCGATTTCCATTTTTTTCTATGTGTGAAATCGCAACAAAACTGCCGAAAAAAAGTCATGAAAGAAACATTTTGGAATTTACGCTTCAGCAAATTGCCCATGTTAAGACATTGACTTTCGCATTCATTAGATGCGATTTCAGGTGCGATTTCAAATTTTATCAGAAAGGTGATCTGATCATTAGCACTGAACACATGATGCGACCAATAAGGTGATCCAAGCCATCTAGCTGATCTATAATGCTGGCCATGCATGTATTGGCATATTATATTTATTCGAATGTTCTTCATCATGCTTGCTTAGGATTGTTTGATAGAATGGTCACTTTGATGAAAGTGGTTGCAACTTTCAAAAATTGCTGTACTACAAGGGCAGTATAATCGATAAAAATGTTTCTCATCAAAATGTAACAATTAGTCCTGATGGAAAGTCAAATTAAACTGAACCATTTTAATGGGTTGTTTCTGTTGCTGTCAAACAATTGAGATGTTTGTAGTCGAATCTCCGATCTCTCCTCGGTGTGTGTACATGCTGTTGGCTGTTTCCTCAGTTATTTCTCCTAAGGCAAAGTTCGTGTTTTGTTTTTGTGTTTTTGTTTTGTTTTTATCTAGTTCTACCCAATTTGATACATTGAATTGACCCCTACTGATGACCTTCACTGGCCTTTAAAATGGCTTGTGATACAGTCCTGGCCAATGGCTGAATTGTAATAAGTTATCCTGTAACCAAAACATGAGCCAAGTTGCAGCATCTGCTGAATGCTCTATTGCCTGCATCCTTCTGGAGGCTTGTATTTAACCCATGAAGTTCCATCCCTTCCCTTTCATTGATGTAGAAGTATCTCCGACTGTGGTGGGGTGTCATGTGGACTGTGGATCAGGTTACAGGCATAGGCACTCCATGACCTTGCTGACCAACTTCTGTGACAAACAAAATGGTGCTGACCATGAAAACCACATGGCTGTCCAAAGATAAACTGCTATTCTCATAGTGGTCAGCAGTCAGCACTGGCTTAGTCCTGGGAAGAGGTGCTGAAAACAGCTCACCCATCAGACAAATGGAGCTTGGCTGGTGCTGGTAAAAGCTTGCATGCTAGTATGTGGACCATGGTCTGGATCATGTGTGCTGCAGATAATAATCCAAGAGTGTGTAGTCTCCTTTTTTTTAAGCTATACGTGTAAAATACATTTGTTTGTCATTCATATAACTGAATCCCTGCTGCCGATAGAGGGACCAGTTCATCATTCAGCTACAGGTACTTGTATAGGGCTGACCATTTAAACAGTGCTTTACATATTGTACATTCAGTCAACTCTCATACTTTGACAATTACGTAGTCATGCAACGCTGTACCAAAACTAGATTTTTTATAATTTTATTTGAGACAGAGCTTTCTTTTGACAGTAGTTAATCACCACTGGGGTTTTTGCTTTTTACTTAACAAAGACCAAAAATTTTGGAAAAAAGTTTAGTTTTGTAAATAAGTAATTTTGTGTTTGGGCTGATGGGCGCTGTTTGGGCTGATGGGCGCTGTTTGGGGCTGATGGGCGCTGTTTGGGCTGATGGGCGCTGTTTGGGCTGATGGGCGCTGTTTGGGCTGATGGGCGCTGTTTGGGCTGATGGGCGCTGTTTGGGCTGATGGGCGCTGTTTGGGCTGATGGGCGCTGTTTGGGCTGATGGGCGCTGTTTGGGCTGATGGGCGCTGTGGGCGCTGTTTGGGCTGATGGGCGCTGTTTGGGCTGATGGGCGCTGTTTGGGCTGATGGGCGCTGTTTGGGCTGATGGGCGCTGTTTGGGCTGATGGGCGCTGTTTGGGCTGATGGGCGCTGTTTGGGCTGATGGGCGCTGTTTTTGGGCTGATGGGCGCTGTTTGGGCTGATGGGCGCTGTTTGGGCTGATGGGCGCTGTTTGGGCTGATGGGCGCTGTTTGGGCTGATGGGCGCTGTTTGGGCTGATGGGCGCTGTTTCTCAGCGCTGATGTCAGAAGGACACAGCGGTCACAGATTGCGCACAGTTCGTGCCCCGGGGAGCATGTGGGGGGTGTGGTTCTGGGAGGAAGTCCATGGACACTATCCCAGAACTAGCCGACTGGACACTAGCTGTCTTTTGGCTATAGCGCGGTCGGGAACTGGTTAAGGAGCTTACAATCTAAGATTTATACACACACCAGCTTGGACAGGAGCCAATTGAAGCGGATCTCTACAGTGAAGGAAATAAGTATTTGATCCCCTGCTGGTTTTGAATGTTTGCCCACTCACAAAGAAATTCAGTCTAAAAATCGAATGGTAGGTGTATTGTAACACAGAGAATAGCAAGAGAAAATTCAAAAGAAATGCATGTCTAACAAAAATTATGCACTGATTTGCATGTTCATAAGATAAATAAGTTTTTGATCCCCTATCAGCAGGATTTCTGGCTACTAGGTGTCTTTCATACAGGTAACAAGCTGAGATTTGAAGTAGTCTCTTAAAGGGAATGCTGCTAATCTCACACAGGAGCAATCAAATAATCAGATTCCAAACTTTCCACCATGGCAAAGACCAAAGAGCTGCCCAAGGATGTCAGAGACAGATTGAAATCCTGCAGTGCCTGCAAGGTCCCTCTGCTTAAGAAAGTGCATGTCCAGGCCTGTCTGAAGTTTGCCACTAAACATCTGAATAATTCAGAGGACTGGTTAAAAGTGTTGTGGTCAAATGAGACCAAAATTGAGCTCTTGGCATAAACTCAACTCGCTGTGTTTGGAGGAGAAGGAATGCTGCCTATGACTCCAAGAACACCATCCTGTCAAACATGGTGGTGGAAACATTCTGCTTTTTGGGGTGTTTTTCTGCTAAGGGGACAGGATAACTGCACCGCATAAAAGGGACGATGGACGGGGCAATTTGTACTGTCAAATCTTGGGTGAGAACCTTCTTCCCTCAGCCAGGGCATTGAAAATGGGTCATGGATGGGTGTTCCAGCATAACAATGACCCAAAACACACGGCCAAGGCAACAAAGGAGTGGCTCAAGAAGAAGCACATTAAGGTCCTGGAGTGGCCTAGCCAGTTTCCAGACCTTAATCCAATTGAAAATCTGTGGTGGGAGCTGAAAGTTCGAGTTGCCAAATGTCAGCCACCAGACCTTAATGACTTGGAGAGGATCTGCCAAGAGGAGTGGGCCAAAATCCCTCCTGAGATGTGTGCAAACCTGGTGGCCAACTACAGGAAATGTCTGACCTCTGTGATTGCCGGCAAAGGATTTGCCACCAAGTACTAAGTCATGTTTTGTGAAGGGGATCAAATACTTATTTCCCTCATGAACATGCAAATCAGTGCATAATTTGTTAGACATGCATTTCTTTTGAATTTTTTGTTGCTCTTTTTAGACTGATCATTTCTTTGAGTGGGCAAACATTCAAAATCAGCAGGTGATCAAATATTTCCGTCACTGTAGGTATGGTTTTATTTTTTTTTTCCTCATCCAGTTTGGGCCAGTGTCATTATGATATGCCGCACCATTCAGAGAATGTCTTGCACTTTTTTCGATGAATGCAAAGTGTTCTGATTTGATGAAGTGGAGAAACAATGTGGTGATGTCACCATCCCTGGCTCATCCAATCGGAGAAAGCTTTGCAGTCATTAAGAAAAATGTAAGGTAAGCATTTCCGTACCTGAAATTTAGGTTTAACCTACCAGCATGTCTTAAGAGCATGGAAGGAAAGAACATGCGAACTGTATGCAGATAGTGCCCTGGATTGGATTTGAACAAAGGACCCCAGTGCTGTAAGAACTTTGCCTGGAAGTGGAATTTAATCAAAATGCAGGTCAATGAAATTGTAGATGCCAAAGATTATTGGGCTTTTGAAATTAGCAGGTGCCATTCAAGCTGACTTTGTACACTTTGGTACGGTATGACTCAAAAACGTAAGGTGAATTCACATTAATAATCCCATAAATTGCAGCGCAGCCGGGGCGATTCACAGATCTGGTCACGTTCCCCTTTGTGCTTGGGAGCAGTTTGCACCACGGTTCAGCGCATTGCATGGGTTTTTTTGGGGTTTTTTCGTTGCCTGAAATTGCAGTGTGAATGGGATACATAGGAAGCAATTGTTTCTTGTGTGTCCCTGCAGTGACCGTTACCATGCGGTAAAATGTCTGTCACCACATATTGTGTGAACTGACCCTTACTGCGATCTCTGGCCGCCTTCCTGATTCAGTTAGTTATGTGAATCGGATCTGATGTGAATCTGATCGGTGGGTATTAATGCTTTCCAAATCTTGTTTCAGTGGATTATTATGAATGTGATTGGGAGAAGCCATATTTCCTTTACGTACTCAGATCCATCTTCACAGTGATGGCCCTTGACTGCTCCTTTCTGCAGTGTAAGGCAGGTCAAAGATTATGCAGTTTTTCTGGGTTTGTAGGAAAGAATTGAGATTCTTTTTTTTTTTTTTTCTCCCAGCCAGACTGTTACTATGTAATTTTTTGTTTTTTTTTTTTGTTTTTTCTCAACGCAGTCAGTGTTGATAGGGAAAGTCCCTCCTGCGGAGCTGATGTGTACTGGGTATGATTCAATCCATCTATGGCCGACTTAGTGATTGCAAAGCTTCAGTTTTTTTTGTGTTATACTTGGCTGTTTTGTGCAATGGGCTACATTACTCCTGGCTCCTCCTTCAGTGAGTTCCCCCATAGGAAGCCACTTCCTATGGGGGCACATGAGTGGGCTTGCTCTGGAGGGCCTGCTGCCTCCGTCCATAGACAGCAGTGCATAGCCCCACCCCTTCTCCCTTGTCTCAGAAATTGATTGACAGCAGCGGGAGCCAATGGCTCCTGCTGCTATGGATCTGCACTCTGAAGAGGAGCAGAGAGAGATGCTGCTCTCATGTGCAGCGCAATATGGCTCCGGGTAAGTATATGATGGAAGGGGGGTATCCCAGGCACAGGTGTTTTTGTTTTTTTTAACTTTATTGCATAGACTGCATTAAGATAAAAAAAACCTTAAGGCTTTAGAAGCACTTTAAGGTTATGGGTCAGCTGAATCATTCATTAAACTCCTGAGTGGTGGATTCCTCTTAAAATGTGTTTAGAAAAAAGGCAGGTTGTCTGCAAAGGTTAAGCTCCCTTATCTGTAGTCTGAGGCCCAGTGATGGTAAGGTTAGGCAACCTTCTCTAGTCACTGATCTACATAGTACATTTAAAGTGTTACTAAACCCAGGACCCTGCATTCACGAAATCTGGTCTCCCACAGTACACAGAACATGGAAATGCAATTATTTTAGTAAATATAAACTGCTAAATACCTTTTCTCATCCGCAATTTTAAATCAGTCTTGTGACTTCTATCAGTGTTCAGCAGAGCACTGGTTAAAGCTTGTAGGAGTTTCTCTAGGAGGATGCAGGACCCCTGAACTCTGTCTGGACAGTGTTGATTGGTCCTGTGCTGATCACATGCACTCTCCAAAAAAAAAAACTATAGCAATACACTCCAAATTCTGCATGTGCAGAGTGTCTCCTCATGATATGTCTTATCAGGAGATAAGAGGGGGGTACTGGAAGGAGGATCAGAGAAGACTGGATCAAACAGCATTTTTAACACTGCAGAGGATTAACCCCTTAGGTTCCACAGTGAGTATAACAAGCCTGCTTTACTGCATATACAGACTGATTTTACTGTTGTGGGTTTAGTAACACTTTAACACAACAATAAAAAATATGGAAGAGCAAGACTATTACAATGTTAAAAAATTGTATGTAAAACGCTTAAGCATGTAAAAATAATGCAATAAAGTTAAAGTAAACAGCATGACAAATAAAATACAAATTTTGTTTAATAGGCTTTTTTAAATGTAGCTTAAAACTGAACTTAGGAAACGAACATTCCTTCCCTGCAGTGGGGCTGCACCCCAACTGAAATCGTTACCTGCTTTTATGGCTATGGGACCATGAAAAGTGGGTTTTACTGGTTCAAGGCAGTGATCCCCAAAAGAGGAGTTCCATTTTAAAGATTGGTCTGCTCCCCATTAAGGATCAAACAAATTGACAGGTACCCACTTTTGCAATACCTAGGTCAGGGGTGCAACACTTTAAGACATAGGCCACTTGGACCCTTAGGTTCCGCACAGTGAGTATAACAAGCCGACTTTACTTGCCCAGTAAGCAAAGGGTACAGGGCCACTGATTTTACTGTTAGGTGGGTTTAAAACCCACGATAAAATTTATTTTTGACAGCCACATTTAAAATACACCCCAACAATTTCATCCCCCAAAAATATGTAATTCATCCCCCTAGTAATTCATCCCCCATAGTAATTCATCCCCCATAGTAATTTATCCCAATATTCATCCCCCATTAAATAGTAATTCATCCCCAGAGTAATTCATCCCCCATAGTATGTAAATCCCACCCCTTAATAGTAATGTAAAATGTGTAATGCATCCCCCATATAGTAAATATAGTTTTCCTCCCCCATAAGTAATTCATCCCCCATATAGTAATTCATCATAGTAATGACATCCCCCAATATAATTCAGTTAATTTTTTTTTAAATTTTATCCCCCATATTGTTTAAATTCATCCCTCCACATAGGTTTCATCCCCCACATAGTTTTCCCCCAAATAGCAAGCTTAATTCATCCCCCACATTGTAATTCATTACATAAATTCATCCCCCACATAGTCCTTCCCCACATAGTAATTCATCCCCCACTTAGTAATTCATCCCCCATATAGTAATTCATGCCCCATATAGTAATTCATCCCCCATATAGTAATTCATCCCCCCATATAGTAATTCATCCCCCATATAGTAATTCATCCCCCATATAGTAATTTCATGTTAGGTGATCGGAAGCAGAAGTTGTTGTCCTACCCTCCCTCCCCGTAGTCTTCTTTGACATGTGACAGGTCCCAGAAGATGACTGGGCCCATTCAGGGAGCACAGCACTACTCGCCATGCGCAGTGGGTACCCCGCTGTGAAGCCGTAAGCTGTCACATCCGGGGTGCCCACACTGAAGATGCTGGCACTTGGAACACAGGATGGCTGGTGAAAACGGGGCTGTGGGGAGGACATCGCGGGATCGTGGAACAGGTGAGTGGCTATTTTTTTTTTTTTTTTGTTTAAAGTCAGCAACTGCAGTTTTTGTAGCTGCTGACTTTTATTTTTCTACAGTGAGTGGATCTCCGCTTTAAGCTCTTGCAACCGATAAGTGAGTGCAGCAAAAGGCTCATCCCTGTGTTCATGATGGAAAGGAGGACTGATGCCTCTTCCTATTTTGAGTTCATCTTTGATCCTGTATGAGGGGGACAGGATGTCAAAGTGGTTTTCTGATAATACACAGAAGTGTATATTAGTACAAATGTGTGAAGACAGGAAATGCTGAGAAATACACAAGTATTTAAATGTCTAGTTTGTTAATTCTTGTCTTAATTGTATCTTCACAGGGGACAGGAAAGTGCTGGCATTGTGACAAGTGATGGAGATGCTGTTCCAACATACAGAATGCACAAGGTAATATTGATCATGCTTTTGAAGAATCTAAAAGTCCCAGAATCTGTTTGCCAGACCTCCCGAAGTCTAAAGGCTAACCCCAAATACCTACCCTGCTCTATTGTCTTTGGTTTGACCTGTGCAGTCCCACTTACCCTCCTGAGAAGTCATAGGTTTGCAATGACTCAGCATGGGTACCTGGGTTTCCCATTGACTGCTGAGGGACTTTCTCAAATTACCTCTTCCTTCAGCCAGCAAAGCAGTGACATACCTGATACATTCAGATATTTAGGAGAATGTGACAGCTCTCTGCCTCCCACAAGACAGTGTAGCTGGCTGATCTGCCACCTGTGGGGGTTCATCTTTGCTAAGTTTACAATCCTAAGGGTTTCAGTAGACCAGGAGTAGGTAACCTTAGAGGTGGAGGTCTACCTGGACATCATGGGAGATCACGAGAGTGTCTCCTCCTTACACCTGATTTAAACCTTTAATTCCCGTGTTGCAATCGCATGCATTGCACTGCAAACATAGGTTTAAATCAGGTGGGTGAGGAGGTAATGTATCGCATCCTCACCACCTGTCACACACTCAGATCGCTTTTCAGAGTAAGAGCAGTGCAGCAGCAGCACCCTTAAGATTGGATCACATGTAATGCTGGGGGATATTGGTAAAACCATGCTGTTGAGTCCCAGTTTTACCGCCCCAAATCCCTACTCCCTTTTACTGCTGAGGCAGCAGCCAAAGGTGTACACACGCTACAGCAGAAATTAAACCCCTTGTTTTTGATGGGTACTACTACCTGCCTATTGCGACCCATTCAAGTAAATGGTGCCACTCTGCAAGTGCCCCACAACTGCATGGGGTCTAAGGGGTTAAAGCAGGTGGTAAAGCGGCCAAATGCTGCCTCCTTTAACCCCTTTTTTGCTGTACTGCACAAGGTTGCAGGGCTCTTGCTCCCTACTACAGCTCCAACTTTACAAATGGTCCCTTTGCATTGCACTCTGTTTAAACCTCTGGGATGGCGGATCAGCAAGCCAAGACCGTGATCTACCAGTCACCTGGCCATGATCTACTGGTAGATCGCAATCTATAGGTTGCTGACCCCTGCTGTAGACCTGCAAATGCCCCACAACTGCATGGGGTCTAAGGGGTTAAAGCAGGTGGTAAGAAGACAAAATGCTGCCTGCTTTAACCCCTTCTTTGCTATACTGCACAAGGTTGCAGGGCACTTGCAGAGCAGCCTCATTCACTTGAATGGGTCATGCTTGGCAGGTGCTACATCCACTGACCATGACAGGGTATATAGCTGCGACATGTGGACAACCTGGCCATTGCAGCTAAAGGGGGTGTGTTTGGAGCGCAGGTGGTAAAAACATGTCTTTAACTATGGGTTTTACAACTCCCCAAACTGCAAATTAAATGAACCCCTACTGTTCTGAGCCCCCTTTTAAGGCTGTGCTGCAGTTTACCTGCACCGTGGGTGCAGTACATCTGAATTTCCTGGGTTAGTTGTGCTTTGACATAGACTTCTATTCTATCCTGCAGGTGTGGTGCACTATCTGAAAGCACACCAAAACTCCTGCATTCTAACCCGCAGCTACAGTGCACTTCACCCATGGTGCAGGTAAACCACAGCGCATCAGTGTGAAAGCAGCCCGATCCTATTATTTCCAGTGTATTGCTTGAAACTGACCTGAAGATCTCCTCTTTCCTGCTGCTGGCACCACTCTGGAGACCTCCAGCCAGGATAAGAGGTGGAGTGCAATTGGTGTAGCTCTGCATGGGAGATGAGCCAGCACTGCAGAGGAGGCATTGGCTTTTGAGGCTCTTGCTCCCTACTACAGCTCCAACTTTACAAATGGTCCCTTTGCATTGCACTCTGTTTAAACCTCTGGGATGGCGGATCAGCAAGCCAAGACCGTGATCTACCAGTCACCTGGCCATGATCTACTGGTAGATCGCAATCTATAGGTTGCTGACCCTTGCTGTAGACCATACTGGCACTTGAATTCTACATACCTAATAAAAAACAGAAGGGTGCAGTGCTAAAAATAAACTTATATCACTATAAAGCACATCAATGTGTTAAAATATTAAAAACTCAATGTGTCCACATAAAGTGACAGTGCATTTCAAGTGAAGATAAATCTGTAATATGGTGCCATATACGTGACAATAGTGAGCACTTATAATGTGCTGAAATACACCACAGATTATGACATATGAAGTCCACAATAAAGGTGAAAATCCATCCAAAATGGTCTCAAACAGGTGATCTGTATACGTCAAGTGGTCAATCAGGTGATGTGCCAGAGATAGATGTTAAGACTGCGCACTCACTAGATATATAATCATAATACGCATTTGTATATGATCAGCCGGAGGCCCCCCTTTTTTTGTTTTTTTCTTAGCCTTTTTATAATGGATCTTACTGTGTTACAAGTAGTGGACTGTAGGGAACACAAATGTGAAAGCATGGATTCATAAAGGGCTGTAATAGACATAGTCCCCAGAAGTCTTCTGTAATGTTTCTCCAGGCTACATCTGGCGAAGCATGTTCCAGTCTCTAACCACTCCTAAAGTGCATCTGCACTCTTACTATCTTTTATGGTATGTCTGACAGCTTTCTGTCAACCTACATTCACTCACTACTGTGGGTTGCCCTTTGGTGATGTTTAAGTGCACTTGAAGCCCCACATATCAAGAAACTTGACCACTGCTGCTCATTACAATGATGAACTAATCTTGGTTTGTTTTTTTCTCAACCTTACAGGGAATGGGTTTGGGACAAATATCAGTGGAGTACAAATGCAGTATTCTGTGGACTTCATATGGTGTTTCAGTGCTGTGCTAGGACTCTTCGCCCTTCATGCAGTGAATATCTTTGTGGCTGTTAGTGTAGTATAAATATCCTTTGCCAGGATTTCTCAACTAGGGTTCCTCCAGAGGTTGCTAGGGGTTCCTTGAGCAATTTCTGCCTCAGATAAGTTCACTGACACCATTGATCTTTTTAGCGATCTGTAAGGGGGTAACGCTTACCAATGTACTTGTGTAAGTAGCATTCTTCCACTGACCATCACACAAATGTATCTTGAGTTGTAGATGGAGTAATTTTTTTTTTGCTAGGGATTCCCGAGACCAGGAAGTTATTTCAAGTGTTCCTCTGCATTGAAAAGGTTGAGAGACTGCTCTATGGTTTGGATGACTATAAAGTCTTCCAGTGCTATGCTCATGCTTTTCTGTCCCCCTACAGGGAATGGGCTTGGTCAATCATGTGTTCAGCGAGGAGAATTTGAAGAAACTAAACATGAGCAATCTGGGAATTGGGCACACAAGGTATTCGACATCGGGAAATTCTGCTTTGGAGAATTGTCAGCCGTTCGTCGTTGAAACGCTCCATGGAAGGATTGCTGTGGCACATAATGGAGAACTAGTAAATGCAGCTCGACTTAAGCGAAAGGTAATCTGATAAAGCTCACATTAAATCTAGTGTAAGGGCATTAAAAGCGTTTCAGTCGCTGCACACTGTACAAGGCAGGTGGACCAACTGTATATTTCATATAAACCTGGAAAAAAAAAAACCTTTGGGTCTCTGGTCAGGCTTTGACAGCCCTGTTTAGTAAATCTCGCTGTTAGTGCAGGCTAGCACCTCCATGATTAAGCCCTGGAGAGTTTGCTGAAGCTGCTATTGTCTTTGACATACAGCTTTGTATGGTGTGTGGCAATTGAAACCCCGTTAATTCTTGCACTTGGTATGGAGTCAGGACCAAATCCCATCTAGCCTGCACCCACATTTACTGACCGGGGCTGTCAAAGCAGAGTGAAGACCAAAAGGTTTTGGGTTTTTTTTTGCAGTTGGTCCATCTGCCTTTTGTAGATGTATGCTCAGTGCTGAGGCCTACTTCTAGAAAGCAGAAGTGGTATTCTGCAATCTGGGCACTTGCTGCCCTTCAACGCATTGGGTCATAAATGCAAGTATATACTCAGTAGAGTCCTGTGGTGCTGAATGCTGCTGTTCTTCCTGGGTGCACTTTAATGATTTATTTTTTTTTTTTAATTGATCATCCAAATGACTGTATGGTAATGGGTAGAATATACAGTGTGTGAGTGAGTAAGGATTCTGAGAATCTCAGAGCCTTTTGACCATAAATAGGTGGAGGCCTGCAACAATCTTGTTTATGTCCAATTCTATCCAAAATGTTACAGAAAGTGATGGGGAAATCTCTGAGCAGGGACACAGATAAAAATTAAAACCTGTTTGACATGGGAGTTGGAATGTCTGCCGGTGATATATTTTAGTGTATGGATCTTTGACAACTGCACTCTGTAAGGGCACCGCAGTGACAAGGAATGAGGTATAATCTTCCCAGTGGGGTCAGAAAAATACACCACCAATTATAGCACACAGGAAGAACTTGAATTTGTTCTGCAAGTATTTCTGCATGAAGTGCGGCGTAATCTATGGAATTGCAGTTTTAGAATACATATATACTATGTACAATATACACTATATAGCCAAAAGTATTGGGACACCCCTCCCAAATCATTGGATTCAGGTGTTCCAATCATCTCCATGGCCACAGGTAAAATCAAGTACCTAGGCATGCAGACTGCTTCTACAAATTTTTGTGACAGAATACCAAAGAGCAGCTGCTCAGCACTGGACCTGGAAGACTGCTGCTTTCAATGTAGTAGCTACAGTGATATGCGGCTTACACCAAATTAGTGAGGTATGAGATATTTATACTTACTTTGGTCAGCTTGGTCCTGACCATTGTAACTGCAATAAAAATCCTACCTAAACTTGAGCTTTAATGGAATCTGGCATCAAATATGGCTGCCAAAAAAACATGCAGGTCCAACTGTCTTGACCCCTCCTTGTAATAAATATTATAAGTTAGGTATATGTTAAAATTTTTATAAATTAACTAAAATATGATTTTCTCTGAAATAAACCAATGAAAAGCTCTGTTCAAATTGGAACATAAAGACTCTAAGTCTTTGGTCATACCGAATTAGTCTTTAAATTCATGCAAGTTTAAGTGAAGTTGCTCAATTTCAAATTCTGGTGTCATTCTGACTTCAGGATGCAACTTGGAAGACATCTGTGAGACTTCATGCACAGATATCTATGTAAGTCTCACCTGAATATGCCAAAAGTAGTGCATGAAGTACTTTCAAAATTGGTGCGACTCCAACGGAGTCAGAATTGCACCCATATGACTGCTTCCATTGCGGACAATAGGATGTGACTTTTGATAGTTTCAAATCGCATGACAAGTCACACCGGTGTAATGGTGACTAAAACACATTCATTATAACAAGCCTCAGCACCACTTTGTTGTGATAAATTACAAGTAAGCTTTAATTAAACCAATTTATAGTGATGCAGGTTTTTATTAGTGGGGTAGGTAACACAGAACTTCAGCTTTGGTGAAATTACAAATCCCACCATACTTCTGGGAGTCATGCCTGTGGCTGTCAGTCTTGCAGTGCTTCATGGAACTTGTAGTTCCACCACAGCTGGTATGGCAGTGTTGCCTACCCTGCTATTAAACGCTCGCCACTATGAATAGCTTTATTTAAAGCAGAACATTTTGTTTTAATTTTGGATAGAGCAAGAGGGTTAGATTTTCAGATATTGGGGTTGATTTACTAAAACTAGAGTGCAAAATCTGGTGCAGCTGTGCATGGTAGCCAGTTGGCTTCTAATTTCAGTTTGTTCAATTAAGCTTTGACCGGGACGCTGATTGATTTCTATGCAGAGCTGCACCACATTTTGCACTCTCCAGTTTTAGTAAATCAACCCCATTGTGTTGTCAGGGCTTGACAATTTGCTTTGAATCTAGGAGCCAGATTAAAGCTAGAAGTTTTTGTTTTTTTTTTTTTTTTTTTTTTTTTCAACAAAAAAAAAATTGATGGGTCGGGCTCGGGCTACTGTTTTGTTCGGTTGCAGTGCTGCTGGTTGGGATTGCTTTCTCGTGGAATGGTTTTGGGGGATGCATGTCTTTGGGGACTGGCAGGGAGGGGTAAGTCATGGTGCTCATGGAGTGGCTGGTGCCAAGGGGTGTGTGGAGGAGCCTTTCCGCTCAGCGGCAGCAGGTCTGCTGGGGTAGGGGGCGGAGAGTGCGCTGGGGTACTGGAGTGTGGGGAGGAAAGGGAAAACTTTGGCTCTGCTGCGGGTAAGCAGCAAAGCTGGAGTGGTGGGTCTCCCTTGGATGTCTCCCTTGTGCGTCACTGGATGTAATGCAGTACAGATCGCACTGCATTACATTCTTTCCGGCCTCGATGGTCGGGGACACTGACAACGGGGATCTGTAAGTGATGTTATACATGTCGTTTCTGGGTCAGGAACAAGAAAGGGAGAAGATCGGATGTATATTCGCTCTTCTCCCTCCCCTGTACCCGGCGGCTATGTTGCAGATGGGCAAGCAGAGCCCGGGATACATAGTGGGTGGTAATTTTACTCGGGTGTGTTGAAGCACAGCCGCCTGAATGCTTCCACCCGACAAGTAAACCCTGCTGCTTGCCTGCAGGGCTTCCAAAACTGCATGTCCCATCCGTGAATGCATGAAGGTGAAAACCTTGAGCCTTTACAGCCACTTTAAATATGTTTTCACCTCAGATCTAAAGATACAACACCTTTCAAAGATCTCTAAAGACATGCTGGTTGAGAATACTGTACTCAGATTTTTCCTGGTCTTGTGATTTTCAGTGGTTACTGGTGGCATTTCCTTTATACTTCGGTGAATCTCCTGCATACAGTATCTCACAGGAGTACACCCACCACATTTGTGGAAATGTCCAAATTGGGCCCAAAGTGTCAATATTTTGTGTGGCCACCATTATTTTCCAGCACTGCCTTAACCCTCTTGGGCTTGGAGCTCATCAGAGCATCTGGATATGAAGCTGAGCACGTGCACTCAACTTCTTTGGTCGACCATGGCGAGGCCTGTTCTGAGTGTAACCTGTCCTGTTAAACCGCTGTATGGTCTTTGGCCACCATGCTGCAGCTCAGTTTCAGGGTTTTGGCAATCTTCTTATAGCTTAGGCCATCTTTATGTAGAGCAACAATTTGTTTTTTTTTTGTGTTTTTTCCAGATCCTCAGAGTTCTTTGCCATGAGGTGCCATGCTGAACTTCCAGTGACCAGCATGAGTGTGTGAGAGTGACAACATGTAATTTAACACACCTGCTCCCCATTCACACCTGAGACCTTGTAACACTGAGTCACATGACACCAGGAGGGAAAATTGCTAATTTGGCCCAGTTTGGACATTTTCACTTAGGGGCGTACTCACTTTTGTTGCCAGCGGTTTAGACATTAATGGCTGTGTATTCAGTTATATTGAGGGGACAGCAAATTTACACTGTTATACAAGCTGTACACTCACTACTGGGGGTGCACTGAAATGTTGGTGGCTGGAATAATATCAAAAACACCCCTATTGTTCATCGGCCGATATGGGGGGGAAAAAAAGCACCGATATAGGTGCTGAAAAAAAACGCCGCCCCCTCACCTCTGCCCAATAGTTATCAGACTTTTCTGAGAAACCATCTAACGATCCCGGCGCTGGGCATAAAGATTAGAGAAGGAAAGATGGCCTCCACTCATCTCTATGCCCTTGGAGGACCGGAGCGATGTCACTTCCGTTTCCAACAATTTTTTTTTTTTTTAAGGCACTAGATTAATGATTTTTCTGATCTAATGCTTTACATTGTAGAGGAGAGATGTGGGGTCTTATTGACCCCATCTCTCTCCATAAAGAAGACCTGTCCCTAATTATTTCTATCACAGGGAATGCATGCATTTTTTGTGATGGGGGGAAAAAGTGATTTAAATTTTTGCAAAAAAAAAATTAAAAAAGTTTAAAGTGCCCCCATGCTCACACGTAGTGGTGAACGCATATGTAGGCCATGCACACATGTAAACTGTGTTCAAACACACGTGAGGTATCTCCACGAACATCAGAGGAGGAGCAATAATTCTAGCACTAGACCTCTGTAACGTTACACTGCTAACCTGTAGAAACTGTCATGGAGATTTTTAAGTACTGCAGTTTGACGACATTTCTCAAGCCTGTGCAATTTTAACGCGTGACATGTTGAGTAACTATTTACTCGCCGTAACATCCCCTTTCATATGTTACAAAAAAATTGGGGTATATATAGTGTATTTAAAAAAATATATATATATATATTCATTTTTAAGAACTGTGCGTTTAGGTTTTCGGACAATTTTTGGTTTCGGCACCAGACTTCATTTTGGTGCACCACTGCGCACTACTTTACATTGTAGCAAAGTGTAATTTCTTCGGTGTTGTCACATGAAAAGATAGAATCAAATATTTACAAAAATGTGAGGGGTGTACACCTGTGAGATACTGTAGATGTGTCATTTGTAGCTCAGCCTTTTAAATCCAATATATCACTTTGCAGACCTTGAAAATGAAGCATTTCC